CGGGGGGGCGGATGTGCCCACAGCTCCCCCTTCCCAGCATCCCCCCCAGCGGTGCGACCCCGCCGCCGCCCCCCCGGGGGGAGCCGGGAGGAGGGGACCCCCGAGTTCCCCAGGGTGTGGGGTTTGGGTTTCTGTACCTTCGCAGGGGCTGCAAAAAAAGAAATAAAAAAAGGCGGGGGTGCTTACAAAATCACCCCTGAGGCCAGCAGGAGCTGCAGCCTGTCCCCGTGAAGGTTTGCGGTTGTTTCGGTAGTGGTGGTCGTAATGCTGTTTGTGGTGTCCGTGCATCGGGAGCAGCTCTGCTTGGGCTCACGGCAGGGGGTGTGAGGGGATTTTTGTGGGGTGTCTGCATAAGGCACGGCAACATGCGTGTGCAAGGTCGAGTCATGTATTTGTATGTGGTGTGTGTAGAAACCTGGGCATAGAAGCCCAGGTAAGTGATGCGCTAAGTCAAACCGAGCAGGGTAAGGCAGAAATTGTCCTTTTCCTGCTGCCCTGTGACATTGATCATCTCGCTGGTTTTAGGAGGGGATTTTTGTGGGGTGTCTGCATAAGGCACGGCAACATGCGTGTGCAAGGTCGAGTCATGTATTTGTATGTGGTGTGTGTAGAAACCTGGGCATAGAAGCCCAGGTAAGTGATGCGCTAAGTCAAACCGAGCAGGGTAAGGCAGAAATTGTCCTTTTCCTGCTGCCCTGTGACATTGATCATCTCGCTGGTTTTAGGTCTGGAAAACAAGGTCCAAGAATGGTGAAGCTGGGGAGTAATTTGAACGACAAGAACAACAAACCACCATCCAACGAAGATGGTTTTCAAACAGTTCCTTTGATCACACCTTTGGAAGTAAATCACCTGCAGTTCCCAGCTCCGGAAAAGGTAAAACAAAATCAAACGGTGCTCCTGCATGATTATGCACACATCCATGTTCCCTGGTTTTCACTGCCTTGATGACTTATTGATCTCTGATGATGTGATCCATGGCATAGTGTTTATTCAATAAATAAAAAGGGGTTTTCATAATGTGTTTATCTGTTTTAACATGGGAAATAAGCACGTAACTGTCCCCAAATCCTTCCCTCTTCAAAAGAGACCCAAATATTCCTTCATATAAATACAACTGGAAGAGGCTTAGTGTGTTTTTCTTGCAAGTGCTGGAGAAATTGAGCAGTTTGCAATGTATTGTTATTAGTAAGATTAATTGCCTGCATTGAGGTTAATGTGATAACTCTTCCAAAATAAGCAGCTGTTTTCATTATCTCAGTGAAGGTTTGTTTTCTTCTCCATGGCTTTGCAAAGCTTATTTGGGCATTGAGAATGCTGATTTCTCTGAGGAGGGCGGCTGAGTTCCCCTATGCACTGGATGGTGGTGGAGCCATCCAGGGACTTGTTTCCCCGATTGGTTCCAGCCGGGGACAGCTTTCTCCCCTGCCCACTCAACACTCCCAGAACTGAATGCAGCACTAAAATGTCCAGAAATGTGCATCAGCAATTGGCTGTGGTTTGGTGGTTGGTGCTTTTTAGATGCAGCATGTATGAGGAAATCTTTTGTCTAAATTGATGCAGTGTTGGCACCTATCAATATAACCTAGTGAGGACATGATGAGACCATAAAAATCTGTATGCCCCAATAGTCCTTACAAAAACAAAGCCTGTCTGCAGTGTAGTTCCCAGATACCACAGAGATGGAGCCAACTCATCTGAAAGTACAGGCAGAATGATTAATCCTACAGGGTAATGGAATGATAGTAAAATTAACGCTGATGATTATTGAACATATATCCTGTTTTTACTGTAGTACAAAATGAATTTTGTCTAAATACATTAGGAGAACATGATGATGGATGTGATAAAACTGTCTAGATAAACAAAGTGTGTTTATTTTATGGTAGAGCTGAGTCAACTGCCTTGACATCCTGGGAACCAGAGCCGTGCCAGACAAAGAAGCTGGTTTCATTCTCCATGTGCTTCATGGCAATCAGCAGCAGCTTCGCTGAATTCAGGAGAGTTATGCTTCCATGAATTGTTGTGAATCAGTGGCTGAACAAGCCCTTATCTATGACTCTGATAAATAAGATTAAGCAAAATAATTCTGGCAAAGCAGTACAATTTATCATAGACGTCTGAAAAGCTCAGAGGAAACTACAGATGTGTAAAAGTAGCTTATTTGATGCTAGTACAAATAGCTCATTGAGATCATGCAGTGTCACACGGCACAATTTAAATGACTCATGTATCAGGTGAGACATGGATAACCTAACAAAAATCCTTTCAAGCTAATAAAGTGGTAATGAGTGTTCTCACAAGCACCGCGTTCCAATTGCCTGTTGGTGAACAAACAGGGGAGTGTATTGGTCTGGTGTGATTCCTTGCTGATTTTTCTGTTTAAACATGCCTACATCAATAATTCACATGTTGTTAGGTTACATTACCTTCATTAGCATACATTACTGTCAATGCAGCTACTGACATCCATATTTTTCTTTGCTGGAAGAGTGGGGTGTACCTCCAGCAGTGCTAAGCACGATTCAGAACTCATTAGAGTCAGTGTATTGATTTGTGCAGGCTGTGGTTCAGCTCCTGTGTGCAATAGGCCTGGAGTTAACGGTGACTTGAGATCCAAGAGGGAGAGGTTATTTATGATAAAAGCAAAATAATTCACAACCTGTTTCCTTTTTTCTTTGTAGAACAGATTCTGTTCCGGTGTGTTCACCCTAGGGCGGAGGGTCTGTTTAAAGACCTGCTAATAAGGAGTTGAGCCTCAGGTAGAAAAGCTTGGGCAAAGGTTAAGTTGATGGGGGAAATTTCAGCTTTGTACTTAGGAGAGCAAAGCTGCCACTGAATTCAGTCAGACTGTGAGCCTGAGAAAGAGCAGACGTGGATTTCAAGTCTTTCAGAGTCTATCCTTGTTTGGACTTGCCTTGCAGTCAGGAGGCAGGGTAAAAAAAGAGCCCTAAAATCGATTTTACTTTTTCTTCTATCTATTCCTAAAAGCACCCAGCAGTTGATTTTTAGCTTGGGGGAGTGCAAACATAAGCCTAGGTGTTTTCTGTGCCCCTTGCATGGCATGCTGCATAAATGACCAGTGCCAAACCAGGTTTGGTGTTGGGATCTGTGGGCAGCAGCTCAGAAGGGCTTTGCTCATTTGTTTTCTTAAATGCAAACCCATTGCTGCTCACTGTTAATTGCAAGAAGGAAATGCTGCCTGCCTTGCTCCCTCACTGCTCCTCAGTTGCTGAGGATCATCGCCTTAGCCTCTGCATCAAAGAGCTGGTGTGCCCTGGTGTTTTCCTGAGTGAAATCTGAAAAACAAAACAAAACAAAACAAAACAAAGGCGAAAAAACCCAACCTGCTAAATACTCCCTTTTCTGGGTTTGTCTGGACTATTAGAGGATTTCTTAAGACAATGTGAGCCCTCAACTTGGCTCCAACCTTGGGTCTGGGGCAATCCAGGGTGCATCAAAACCAGAGCAAGGAGGTTTGACTGCAGCTCGGGGCTCTGTACTTGCTCTACCTTCAGTCTGTCTGGAAAAGGAGGAGTAGGTACAGGCTTTGTCTGGTGATCCAGGAGTATCCAGGTCTGTGCAGGGCTACCCAGCTGCTGCTATTAGCAGGGTGCACCGCCTTTACCTGGTGTATGTATTCTGCATGGCAATGGTTTGCAAGCTCTGTTCATTTATAGGCTTTTTCCAGTTGACTCTTAGACACCTGCATGCAAGCCGAAGACAACCAAACCGGTACCTTTGCAGATCCTTAGAAGCACCCCACAAAGCCCATTGAATCTACAGACTGAAAATTGTGTTGTAAGGGATTTAAATACCTGATTTTGCTTCATTTTAAGGATATTTTTGTAACTGAATCACTTGGGAGTCACTCAGGGTGTCTCTCAACATTAACCTCCATAAGTGTTTCACCACAGCTTCATCTCTTTCAAAGTGTTTCCTGTGTCTGTGTCCTTTCAGAGAAAGGATACAGAGAAAGAATATAAAAATGAGACTTTTGTTCATGTCATGTAATCCCTGAAGCCCATCTCTTTTCAGATAGTTCTTTGGTTATAAGAAATCATATGAGGGGTTATAAGGGGAAATGCTTTCTAAAAGATAGGCTTAAACTTATTGGCTGTCCTTTTGGACAGGCTTGTTTTTCCAAGAGCTGTGAGCTTAGCAGCTCCCTCCGACTCCCACCTTGATGCTGTTCGAAAAATCCAGACAGGAATTCAGGAGGCTTGAATTTGGCAACCTTTATTTTTAAATTATTGACTAGTGGACTGACTGTTTCTTTTTCCACCAAACGAGGACATCTCCTCCCAAGGCTCATGCTATTCCTCCTGCAGCATCAGCATTCTCGTCATTCTGTCAGCAGTTGTATGGCTGCAAGGGGAGAAATGTACCCGGGACGGTAATTTCTCCCCTATGGTGCTAAGCCTGCTGTGTATTTATATTTATTGACTACCTTCAAGCATTTTCCTTGCCCTGTTCTCTTGCTGGGGTGGCGTTTGCAGAAGGCAGAGACAGATACTCTTAAATCATTTTTGGGTGGCCTTTTTTTCTGAAATCTGTCCATGTAACAGGAATAATAACCATCACTGGTGACAAGCCCTTGACCTGGCATTTTGTGTTTCTGAATTTCATTTCTTCTTATTCAAAAGGAAAAAAAAAAGACTTTTTTTTCTTTTAGGACCAAAGGGGAAAAGGCTTGCTGTTCACTTGTTTTCCTAGGTGTAGACAAAGTGCTTTGGCTGTAGTTGTTACGTGTCTCTGCAATGATAATGCTAAAAGATACACAGCTTTTCAGGGACCATACTGTTTCACTGAAATTTTAAATGAGACCAACAACTGGGGACCCCTTGGTCTCATAGGCTCGCTTCAGTATAATCCAGCAGGAAATGCCTCTCTTCTGGCAGTAAAAATCCTAATTTTTACATAACACAAAAATGCACGAAAGCTATTGTCAGGGCTGAAAAAAACATCCGGCATCTCTTTTGTGGGGAAAGCTGTAGAAGGCTTATCATGTGGTCCATTGTTCTTTATTTTGAATGCATCTGGAGGCTTGAGAAATAATTTCTCTGGTGACAAATTCCTGCCATCCAGCCCAAGAAAGAGAAAAATAGATGTAACTGCTCTCTTCAAATGCTTTTCCCATCCTATGCTCCTGCCTCTTGCCCCCTCTGGCCGCACCCTTCTCTGAGTGGCTGAGGGCAGGGATTTACACAGCGTAATCTCGAGTTCCTGAAAATCAGGAGGAGGGTCCCTTGTGTTCACAGCCGGTCCCTATTGGTTTAACAGAAAATAATGTTTTGTCCTGGCCAGCTGAGCAGGCATAATTAATGGATGAGTACGCTGGATGAGTGCTTTGGTACCTGGGGGACTACTTGCAGCTCTGCCCTGAAATACTGATGTCAGTCTGCCCTCTGCGAGGCCCAGGAGCATGCAGCAGGGAGACACACGTTGTCAGGGCAGTGTGGAGCTGTTTTTGGAGTGCTTTGGGGCCAGGGGCAGTTCAGCCTTCGCTGCTGTGGTCGGGGAAGGCTCTTGGTGCAGCCTGGGGCAGGCAGCTGTGCTCCTGCTCGCACTGCTGCTGAGTTTGGTGGGATGGAGCAAATGGTGAAAGGAGAGACGGGGCAGGGCTGGTAATTGTGGCAGATGAAGGAAAGGAGAGTAAAAGGGAGCAGGAGGATGCAAAGAGAAAGAAAGTGTGAATAAAAGAGCATTGCAAATGTGGAGGAGCAGGCAGGCTGTGTTGCCTTTCCCCATCTTTTCCTTTCTCCACTTTGGATATTCTGTCTAATCCCACAAATACCAAAGCCTGAGCCTTCCTCTCCTGTGACATTTGTCCCCTTTCTGCACTGTGCAAATCCATTTGTCCTCTAGATGTTTAT